TATCTGTGATTTTTCATTCTACCTTGCTGTGGGAAAACACCTTTGTACTCTTTAGAAGGGACAAAAATAACCAAATTCTTATAGACCTTGACCTATCTGAAAGAGATTCAGATTTGATGTGCAGCTGGAGACATACAGAAGTCTTATTCTAGCCAAAGGGACCCAACAGTCAATTATTCTTCTTCCAACTAGGAAGAGTGCCCTGAATCTTTGCATCTCTGTCCCCTAAGGAAGAGCCTGATAAACAAGGGAAAAAGAAAACAAGAAAATTATCAATAGAAATCTCCTTTTCTTTTCCAAGACAGTGTAAGGCAAGAGACTTGGAGCCCAGAAACCACATAGGCTGTGAAATATTGTAGCTTTTGTGATTATTTTTTAATTTAGTTTGAAGCAAAAAGCGTAAATGAGAGTTTGTGTGTGCTTTTGCTGTTGCTTTCCTCTAGTGTTTAAAATAAAGAGCTTTTTGAGGGTATTCTCATTTTGTTTCTGAACTAACTGAGCTGAAAAGACTTTTTCTAAACCTTGCACAGATTGACTGGGTGAGATCAATATTCCCTAGGCATGGTGGTGGCTTTAGTACAACTGCCCAGTCCTGTCCAAAACAAAATGTAGGAACCTAAGAATATTGACATGGTATCCGTTGTAGACGGAGCATTTTTGCTGTGTGGATCATCATCACACACGTAGTAAACTCTATTATAGAAGTTTTGTACTTATGTTTACATTCCTCAAGGCTATTCTTTCCTCCCTTTTAAAGCATGTTTGCTTTTAAACTAGATAAAAACATTTATGTTTTCAATTATAGCTCACAACATGCCCTACAGTCATAACCAAGACTAATTGAGTTATTCATTCCCCCAGCTCCAGCAGTTATATTATTTAAGCTGAAAATGAGTAACTGCTCCAGAGATTTCTATAGGTTTTCTGAATTGTAAGCTGAAATTTATCCAGGTAAATCTGAATTTGAAATTATAACCCTTCAGATGAAAGTAGCACTTCATGCCATTTAGAATACCCACAGGAAAAGTAACCTAGGTATTGGTTTGTCCCCACTGGGAAACTTAAGGAAATGGGGGTCCAAGCCAGGTGTGCTGGTTCATCCAGCTGCTTTCACTCATTTCTTTCTTTTCAAATGCTTTTGTGCCCTGTCACCATTTCCTTTTCTTCTAAGGTCTTTTAGAGCTCACAGGAAGATGATCAATGAATTTCTCTTTAGTACTGAAAGGTTTCTAAACACTATTACAGGTGACATTTTTTCCTTTCTCAATGGGACAAGTACAGCTGCTACATTTCATTTCGTTTTATGCCTTTTTCATCTGTCAGGTGGATTGCTATAAGGCCTTAATAGAGTCCTGATAATTTTCTACTCTTTGTCTTTAGTCATGTAGCCTGTGGTGTTAAATTCTTTCCCTAGGATTGCATCTCTATTCTTCTGGAACTTCAGAGTGGAAAGAGAATCCCTCATTAGCAGTGTGTGCTTTTCACAGCCACAATACCAATAATATTTCATCTGGAGGTAATAAACAAGTAGACAAAGGACTTTGTGGCTTAATGCTCCAATTACCAAACCCAAAAAAAACATATTCTGTTTATGACAAGAAAAGGTACACACTGGTCGTAAGTTTGCTATGGAACTCTTTTGTTGTTGTTGTTGCGGTTTGGCTGGGGCTGGGTTCGAACCCGCCACTCCTGGTATATGGGGCCAGTGCCCTACCACCTAAGCCAAAGGTGCTGCCCCAAGCTATGGAACTTTTGATATAATCACTAGAGTCAAACTCAGAAGATAACTTTGATTTTTGTTGACAAATTTAACATGTGAAGTGGTTTGTATGTGTGGAGAAATTCCTTTATATGGGATAATTGGTCTGTTATATCCCAATTGTATACTTAGTTGACTTTACTACCTATTTTGATAGCAATTTAGTTATAAGTTCAAATAATATTATGGGTTCAGGTTTTTTTTTTTTTTTTT